GTAAGTATGGAATTTGTGTATGTTTTTGTGGGCTAGGGGGGCGGGGGAGCAAGGAGGAGGAATATCTATAATATTTATTTTGGAGGGAGAAAAGGGGCTGATGAAGCGGCAGAATAAGATGATCCTGGGTGTTAATTTGGGTGCTGAGAGAGAGAGAGGGGAAGGTTCCTCTCACTGTCGTCATTAACCAAACGTATTTATTATGAATTCTTGCTTAATAAGTTACTTTTACCTTTATTATTATGTCGTTGAGATTTACATGATTGATTTTGCTGGCCGAGAAGTTGCCAGACTAATTATCCCTGGTGAAAATAAGCCAGAGGAAAGGCAATTAAGGCCAGAATTCCGGATGCCCCAGAGACCCCAGACTGACCCCCAAACCAGGAGTCTCTCCTCGTAAACACATTGGCTGAGAGGCCTTCGTGGTCGCTGCTGTGGCCGGGCCGTAGCTCTCCCCTCTGTTCTGGTTTCTTGGTCTCTTGTGCGTTCTGTCGTGTTTTTTTTTTTTCCTAATGTCCTGTCCTGTGTTCTCTCCTTTGGTCTGTCCTGTGCTTGCTGTGTGAGCCAGTGTGCTGTTCTGATGTTCTCTCCTGTGTTTTTTTTTCCTTATGTTCTTTCATGTGTAATGTCTGAATATTCTGGCTAGAGGATAGATCAGTGGATGCTTTATGTTTAACCCAATGTGTGTGGGCTTTTTAGGCGACCGTGCAGTCTGCCAAACGGGTATGTCTGTGTGGGCCGCATCTGTAGGGTTGCCACTGGCAGAATCAGCATTATGTTGCTATGGCATCATAGCAGATGCCACCCACAAACAAGGGGTTGAAAGGGTCTCATTCTGTTTCATGAAATTGACTGCAGGAGAGTGAAAGTACCAAGTATATTTATATAATGTACCTAAAAGAGGCATTTAATACATTTTCCCAATTTACTTTTTCTGTCGCTCATGATGTTTACTGTGCAGTATCATAACTCATAACTCATTCCTGTGATATGCCAGCTGGTTTGTGAATTACAAGCCCACGCATGTCCGTTGACTGTTTTTCTGGGAGTTCTGGTTGCACGTGGCAGTGTGGATTTCATGAGCTATGCTGTAATGACCGTACCGAATTAGTCACCCAATACCCACCCAGTAAAACAAAGAATCCGCCATATATTCACAGCAGGAGAGAGCGTCAGACAGACTTGGCATTGGGCGCTTCCGCAAACCGGTTGTGCGCATTACCCTACCATGGGTAGAGTGAGAGTTCCACACACGACTGGAACTCCTCTAAAACGAGGCAATAGACATCACATTATGTTACTATAAATATAGTCACTTTGTATTTTGTAGTCATTAGTGTTTGTTCAATGTTTCTGTGTTCCATGTATTCTTTTAATATTATTATACATAATTAATATTTTTAACATCAATTTATAAGATTATTATGTTCATTATAGTGTGGTATCTGAGACCAAGAGATCAATTGAGTCTTTCAAAGAGCAAATTCTTTGTAGAAGGAAACTAAGTATTTATTAACCCAATGCCGACGGGTATGATGTGTATGTACGTGCTATGCCCACTGTGAGTACTTGTTTGATTGTTTTTATGCATAGATGGCAACACTTGTACTAAATCACCAATGCACACACCTGCACACACACAGGTACGAGTACTGCCCATCTCCCCCGTTTACCCTTTTCTTTGATTTACAAAATATTTTACGTTATCTTATTTTGCTGTTACTAATGTTAAAAAACATTATAATAATTGTAATGTTTATGATAAAAATAACACCATCGATTTTGATCGCACTAGTGAAAAATACGTTTTTCCCGCCATTTCGAATCAGGCACTAGCAGAGCCATCTATGGGCAGACATTTCATAAAAAACATAGAAAATGGGCACAGCATTTTCCCCATATTTTTTTTCATTTTCCCCGGCAGCATTGGGTTAATATATATCTTCAATTTTATGCAATGTGGGTCTAGGGGGTGTTGCCTCCTGGCTAGGGATTAGGTGAGTTTTATAAGTAGAGCCTATTGTTTAACAACCTTGGGGTTCAGAAGGCAGAGCCCCTTGCTAGGAAATATACAAATACTACAGGGTCGTGACTAGGGAATATAGGGTTAAAACATATGGTATGAAGTCTTCAAGGTCCAGGTGACAGGGCCCCTTGGTCAGGAGTTAGATGAAATTTATGGATATGTGTATTCCTGTGTGTATGACACTGAATTTAAGGGCTGATCCCCATAGACTTTTTTGAAATGGACTCCTTAGTCCATAGACTTTTTGATGGCAGACCAATTTTAAGCATTTATATTGGTTCGCATATTTTTATTCAACATTCTGTCTCTCAGCTTCGGTTAATCTTTATACTGTGAACATACTAAGCTAGAGCAGATTGAAGAGACATTCTTATAGAGGACAAAAAGTTGCATCAGTCACTACAAATAATAATTCGCAGACGCAAATGTCAATCCCACATATAAGGAAATATTGTGCAAAGCGCCACTCATTGCCGAAGGCCAGTCGATGCTCCCTTGTGTGTAAGGCGAAGAAAATGTTTGCCTCCACCCCCATCTACCCTCCTTTCAGGCAGTGCCTAAATTGCATGCCCATTCATGGCAATCTTCTGTCATGTGTTTTCAGCTAATGTTCTATCATGTGTTCTCAGCTAATGTTCTGTCCTGTGTTCTCAGCTAATGTTCTATCTTGTGTTCTCTCCTAATGGTCTGCTCTGTGTTCTCTCTTGATGTTCTTTCCTGTGCTCTCTTCTAATGTTCTGTAATGTGTTCTGTCTGAAAATTTTCTCCTGTTCTTCAATGTGTTCTGTCTGAAAATTTTCTACTGTTCTTTAATGTGTTCTGTCTGAAAATTTTCTCCTGTTCTTTAATGTGTTCAGTCTGAAAATTTTCTCCTGATCTTTCCTGTGTTCTGTTTAAGTGATGGGATTGGACAATTTTGAAGTCCACTATAGTACTGGTAATGGCACAGCATCAAGTGAATCTTATGATCTTTGCATCTTATGCTTCATCAGAAGTCAATAAAATTGTATGAACTGTATTCTAGCAAGTGAGGGCCTGGACTTCTTACTTTGTTTAAAAATAAATTGGCAAGAGGCTAGTGGTTAGTATGTGTGCTTACACACACACACACACACACACACACACACACACACACACACACACACACACACACACACACACACACACACACACACACACACACACACACACACACACACACACACACACACACACACACACACACACACACACACACACACATATATACATATACATACTCATATATACACATATGTATATATACATATATATATGTATACATATATATACATATATATGTATATATACATATGTGTATACACATGCATATATATGTATACATATACATATATATATACATATGCATATGTATACACATATATATACATATACATGTATATAAATATATATATACATATATATACATATATGTACATATATATAGATATAGATATTAAATTGTTAATTTCTGGCCTTTGTGCTTGTTATCTCATAGATTACACAATACTGTTGATTTGTTGTATTTCCTGTAATGGCTGTTACTTGAACATTTGAGTTATTGGAGCTAAAGATAAGATAGATGTAAATATTATGAAATAATGTATTTGAGCATTCAGTTAACTTAAAAAAAGAAAAAAGTAATATGTAGACATGTTTGCACACATGAAAAAGATTGAAACTGTAATAAAAGAAACTTCCCTAGGATTGTCCTGAGGTGATAGGTGAAGATTGGAGGCTGAGATGTGATTTTTAGATTTATTAGACCTCTCAATTAGTTATGATTGATTATATTTAAGGATATACTTGTAGCTAATTGTATTTATCACGTTCTGTATGGGATGATGCATTTACCAGGTTTTCAATATTTTCCGAGCCTTGATTTTCTGTTAGAGATGATCTCTAGATTTATTTGTTTCTGTTCCTGCTGTCCTTGTCCATCTACAGTTTTCATTATTTTAGTTGTACTATCATTTGGTTCTTATATTTTAAATCAGTTTTAAACTTTGATCTTATTTATTTAATATTCTTGTATACCATGGTATTCGGTAATGGTCGTATATGTGTATATTTTTTCTCATTCTATAGCAAATGCCTCATTATTAACATTACCCTGTAATATTGAAATGTTAATGGGTGACTGTCAGTTATTGTTTCACAAATACCAGCTTTTTCAACAAATTTACTGCTAATCACACTGATTTGCATTTCTGGCAGGTGTGCCTTGCATCTTTGGCACAAGTACTTTCGATTTGGATTTAACATTAATACAATATTAACTTCATTGATGCATACAGAAGACGCCTTATATTTAACAGTTTCCATGCCTGTAAAAAAAAAAAAAGGAATATAGGAACAGATTTTCTTCAGTATTATTTGTAATCTTAACCCAATGCGATGGGCATGACGTGTACGTACGTGCTATGCCCACTGTAAGTACTTGTTTGATTGGTTTTACACATAGATGGCTACACTTGTACTAAGTCACCAATGAGCCAGTTACAGTCCTACCTGTCTCGCCTGTTTACCCTTTTCTTTGATTTACGAGAATATTTTACGTTATCTTATTTTGCTGTTACTAATGTTTATAACATTATAGTAATTATAATGTTTGTTATATAAATAACACCATCGATATTCATAGCATTAGTAAAAAATATGTTTTTCGCACCAATTCATAGGTCACAAGTTCTACTAATTGACTCCTTTGTGGCAGAGCCATTTTTGCGCAGACACATTTCATGAAAATATAGAAAATGAGTATATCATTTTCCCCATTTTTCATTCATTTTCCCCAGTGGCATTGGGTTAATCAGTACAATGAGATGAATGTATGTTTTAAGTTACTCACCAATAAAAAGTAGAAAATTAGTCATTTTGTATTTTTAGTAAATTTAAGAGATTTTATTATCACTCAGTATGTATATTAGGTTTATTATACTTTTTACGGATGCTT